AGGTTGCAGGAACAGCACCTCATATTTCGCTTGGGAACCCTGCAGCCCAATGGTCTCAATGTGGACTTCACAAGCTTCAAAATCTCCCCACCCCCGACCTCATCCCAAAACCAGCCCACCTCATCCCCTCCTCCTTGACCTGTCCATCTTCCCTTAACTGACCATCCCCCATCCTAACTCCCCACCTACATTCACCTTTACTGGCTCCATTCCCACCTCCTTGACCTGTCTGTCTCCTCTCCACCTATCTGCTCCTTTATTCATCTTCCATCCGCCTCCTCCTCTCTCTCTATTTATTTCAGAATCCCCTTCCCCTCCCCCATTTCTGAAGAAGGGTTTAGACCCGAAACGTCAGGTTTCCTGCTCCTCTGATGCTGCTTGGCCTGCTGTGTTCATCCAGCTCTACACCTTATCTCAGATTCTCCAGCATCGGCAGTTCCTAATACCTCTCTGGGTTTGGAAGGTGCTGTTTGAGGATCTTTGGTGAATTTGTGCAGTGCATCTTGTAGATAGTACACACTGCTGCTATTGAGCATCAGTGGTGGAGGGAGTGAATGCTTGTGGATGTAGTGCCAATCAAGTGGGCTGCTTTGTCCTGGATGGTGTCAAGCTTCTTGAGTGTTGTTGGGGCTGCACCCATCCAGGCGAGTGGGAAGTATTCTATCACACTCCCGACTTGTGGATGATGGACAGGCTTTGAGGAGTCAGGAAGTGAGTTACCCACCACAGTATTCATAGCCTCTGACCTGCTCTTGTAGCCACTGTGTCAATGAGGTGAGTCCAGTTGAGTTTTGGGTGAATGGTAACCCTCAGGATATTGATGGTGAGGTATTCAGTTATGGTAATACCATTGAATGTCAAAGGGCGGAGGTTAGATTGTCTCATACGAGTGATGGTCATGGTCTGGCATTTCTGTGGCATGAATGTTACTTGCCACTTGTCGGCCCAGGCCTGGATATTGTCCAGATCTTATTGCATTTGAACATGGAATGCTTCAATATCTGAGGAGTCACAAATGGTGCTGAACATTGTGCAGCCATCAGCGAACATCCCCACTTCTATGGTGGAGGAAAGGTCACTGATGAAGCAACTGAAAATGGTTGGGCTGAGGGCATTAACCTGAGGAAGTCCTGCAGAGATATCCTAGAGCTGAGATGACTGACTTCCAACAACCACAACCATCTTCCTATGTGCCAAGTATGATTGCAACTAGCAGGTGTTTTCCCCCCTACACCCATTGACTCCCATTTTGCTAGGGCTCTTTGATGCCACACTTGGTTGAGTGCAGCCTTGATGTAAAAGGCTGTCACTCTCACCTCCCCTCTGGAATTTAGCTCTTTTGTCCATGTTTGAACCAAGGCTGTAATGAGGTCAGGAGCTGAGTGGCCCTGGTGGAACCCAAACTGGGCGTCACTGAGCAGGTTATTGCTGAGCAGATACTGCTTGATAGCACTGTTGATGACGCCTTCCATCACTTTACTGATGATTGAGAGTAGACTGAGGAGCGGTAATTGGCAGGGCTGGATTTGTCCTGCTTTTTGTGTACCGGACATCCCTGGGCAATTTTCCACATTATCATCAGGTAGAAGACAGTATTTTAATTGTACTGGAAGAGCTTGGCTCGGGGAGCGGCAAGTTCTGGAGCACAAGTCTTCAGTACTATCGCCAGAATGTTGTCAGGACCCATAGCCTCTGCAGTATCCATTGCTTCCAACCATTTCTTAATGTTACGTAGAGTGAATCGAGTTGGCTTAAGACCAGTACCTGTGATGCTGGGGACCAGTGGAGGAAGCCAAGATGGATTGTCCACTCTGCACACTAGCTGAAGATTACTGTGAAAGTTCAGCCTTATTTTTTACACTGATGTGTTGGGCTCTTCCATCATTGAGGGTGGGGATATTTGTGGAGCCTCCTCCTCTGATGAGTTGTTTAATTGTCCACCACAATTCATTGCTGGATGTGACTGGACTGCAGAGCTTAGATCTGATTCTTTGGTTGTGGGCTCACTTAGTTCTATCACTGGCTGATTATGCTGTTTGGCATGCATATAGTCCTGTTTGGTAGCTTCACCAAAGTTGAAACCTCATTTTTAGTTATTTCTGGTGCTGCTCCCAGCATGCCCTCCTGCACTCTCTATTGAGCCAAGGTTGATCTCCAAGCTTGATGGTAATGGTTGAGTGGGGGATATGCTGGGCCCTGAGGTTACAAATTATGCTGGAGTAAAATTCTGCTGCTGTTGATGGCTCACAGAGTCTCATAGATTTCCAGTTGAGTTGCTAGATCTGTTCGAAGTCTGTCCCATTTAACACGGTGAAAGTGCCACACAACATAATGGAAGGTATTCGTGACTTTGTTTCTTATGCCAGTGCTCAGTTATTTTTGCCTGCTTAGCTCTGTCAGTAATGTGAACTGCAGTTTATGTGGCGTGAGGTTTGAAAGTTTACTTATGACTATCAGGTACAACTCTGCCACCTGCAGGAAATCCTTTACAAGTTCTAATGTGCTTATTTGCAGGACAGGTCCTGTATTTCCTTCATTCTTATGATTTACTAATACCAGACCCAAATCCTCATTGTCTGTATTTCAAAAGCAATCCCAACAAGAGCCTCCTGACTTTGTTATGCATCACTGGGGTAGCACACTGGAACTCAAGGCTTGCTATTCCCAGACACATTACAAAAGTTCAGAAGTTTTATCAAAGTACACAAAATCCCCAGCTTATCTGTCGAATAGCCTCAGGTTAACAAAAAAACATGGACCAAGTAAAATTACTATTTATTTCATATAAATAGATTCTAACCAAGAGTAAACAACTATGAACTATCAACATATAATGTAACTACTTAAAACTCTAAGTACCTTCTAAAATCCTCCCAAACCCACATACAGATAGACAAAAAGAATTGATGTCATTGATGGAGGGGGAGAAATATTGGGAAACAGTTCATTGGCACCAGTACCGAGAATTTGATGGAGGCTTCATTTTGTTTCCAAACTCCTTTAGTTTTTTTGAAAAATATTTCCTTTGGCACAAAGTGTCTGGTTCACAAATGATAAAGTCTCCGAATTATTGGTTAAAAGCAACAGTTTAAAGCAACTAGTGGGAGCAAACAACTGGCTTTCTTTAGCTTCAGCTATTTAATTGGGGAGGGGGAGAGAAGAGAGAGAGAAGAGACAGAGATGGGGGGAGGGGGGGAAGAGAGAGAGAGAGCCACCACCTCCCATTCCAGAAACCCAAGGGCTTCTCACTGTATCATTTCACACCCACAAGCTGTTCAGCTACCCCAGAACTGGAGACCTGTCACCAGGTTGATTACCTTTTGCATCCACATTGGCCACAACTGGACAAACCAATCAGTGACTTGTTACTGGCTGAATCTCATGTTGGACACATGCCCCAGTGCCATGCCTTCTATTTACACCTTCCCCCACCGGTTGAAAAAAAATGTAAACACAACTGACTGAGTTTCAATAATTTGGTTTTTTTTAAAAGTGCAGTAATTCCTTCCTAGTCCTTTGTTATAAAACAGCCTTTTTCTTAATTCAGTCCATAATCAAAAATAAAGTAAAATAAAAGAATGCAAGCTTCACAAAATGCACACAAAAAAGCACATTAACAGATTAGTAACTATGCCCAACCTGCAAAGTTTCATTTATCACCACAAAAAAATTTTTTTTTAAAAACTCAATCTGTCCGACTTTCTAATATCTGTTCCATTCAATCAATCCAAAAGGTGTTGACCACAGGAAATATTTCCAACGTTTTCTTTTATGTGTGGTCCATCTACGTGGAGAAATATAGCATTTGTGTAGTATACCTACATCATAATTATTACACATGAAATGTTAATTAGACCCCATACTGGTAGCCCTTCCAGTGTGTGTACAGGCCTCTTCAAGCCTCAAGGACCTATTTCTTCTTTTTCTTTTAATGATTTTGATCATGTCTTTTGCTGAACCATCTGCATTTCAGTTTAAAATTCTTTCTAAAAACCTGAAAAAGATCCTCTACAGAGGTGACATAAACTTTGATGAGTTCTTCAAAGACACATTGTCATCATTTTCATGTATCCAAATACTCGGAGTGTTGAAAATTCTGAAACTTTGTTCAATTATGTTTTGTCGAACGCTGTTCACTAATTCACACAGACACTCAATGGCTTTCTGATTGGTTGTCAAAAGATATAATGTAGTGTTTCAAGAAGAAAGTCCACCACGTGACATGTGCAATAAATGCCAGCCTCATCAGCAAGACCAAATTCCACAATGAATAGTGAAATAGCTGTACAGAGGCTGGTATCCATCACCAAGTCACCCTTTACTTGTGCACGGTATACTGGCTGTGGCCAGCCAGCTCGGGGTCAGTCACCTGAACTGAGGAGATTCTAATCTCCTGGTTATATTGGTGAGCCAGGGCTTTCCTGATTGATTTGGGCTGTTAACCTGGGCCAATGACTACACAGTCAATGAGGTCCACCTGGTTCCAATCACTACATCCCTCCCCTGCTAAGGGATGTAAGCCTGGTCTTTGGCTTGTAGCTTTTCCTGTGACATTTTCTGCCCAAATCCAGTTCCTCTGATTTGAACTCTGACATGGGTGGCGTAACCAGATTGTAGCCCACCTGTTGGCATCCAGAGCATCTTGGGACAATTTCCTCCTCTTCTTCCAGTAGTAATGGTATCAGGGCTGCATCCATTTTGGACTCTGAGGTTTGCTCAACACTAGATGGAGGGAGAGCACCTACAGTTTCCAACAGGCCTTCTGGCTGTTTTGAGAGGCCAGGTATAATTTGCTTCTGCCCCATTTGTGAGCTAATAGCTTTCAGGTAATCCACGTGTTTGTTCAGGGCTTTATCACCTACCCGAACTTTGTAAGTGACGGGATCTGACCTCACATCAACCTCGCCTTGTACCCACACAGGGCCATTTCCATGGTTCCGGCACCAAACTTCGTCTCCTAAGTAAATTGTCTCTCTCGCTTCAAAGTGGCACGTGGCCAGCATTCTTGCTGCTGCTTCACCGACAACGCTCTTTCCACCGCCCCCCCCCCCCACCCCCGCTCCCCCACCCCAAGAACATCAGGTTTAACCTGGTGCGAAGTTTTCTCCCCATCAGCAACTCTGCTGAAGCTATGCCTGCTGTTGCATGGGGGTTGGTCCCATAACTGAACAGGAACCTGGTCAATTTGGTATCAAGTGACACTGTAGCCTGCTTCTATAAGCTACATTCAACGTTTGGACCACCGTTTCTGCTAGATTATTGGACGAAGTATGCTATGGACCTGTCCTTATGTACCAAATGCCATTTGACTTTAGGAAATATTTGAATTCCCAGCTGACGTTCCATTGTCCTTGATCAATACTTCTGGGAGTCCGTGTATCGCGAACGACACTCACAGCTTCTCAATCGCTGTCCTTGCGCTTGCCGAACGAACTTTATGCAAATCCAACCACTTTGTGCAGGTGTCCATAATGAACCAGGAACATTGAGCCCATGGAAGGACTGGCACAGTCAACATGCAACCGAGTCCAGAGTGTTCCCTGCCATTACCACCAATGTGGGCGTGCTACTGGTGGTAGTTTTTGTCCTTGTTGGCATTCTGGGCATGGTCCCACCATTTCAGCTATGTCAGCATTCAACCCCGGCTACCAAACATAGCTTCTTACTAGCATCTTCATCTTGGAAACCCCTGGATCACCCTGGTGGAGTTCAGCCAGTATCTGGCAGTAACCTTTACTCAAGACAATCGCCTTTGTTCCCCACAGTAATATGCCATCCTCTACAGTGATCTGGTCTCACTGGGTCCAGAAAGGTTTCAATCCAGACTGCAATGGCCCTTCTGTCTCCCCTCTTACCACCGGCTGTTTCAGTTTCGCTACGACAGGATCTTTTTGTGTCCACAGTCGGATATTGTCAGCGGTGACTGGAAAGGTGTCCAGGAAGTTCAAAACCGAAATGGACTCTTCCAGGTGAGGCACTACCGGTGGTGTATCTGCCAGTGGGAGGCAGCTCAAGGCATCCACATTCACCACTTGGCTTCCTGGACAGTGTGACAGAAAATACAATATTGAAACGGTAATACAAAATTTTACAGACAACAAACACATAGCATCAGTCACAATGCATCAAAAATAATCACGTTAATAGAGAACATCTTACAACAAAAAACATCTCAGTTCAAACAGAAGATTCAAGTCCACATAAGATAACAGTATCTCAAACATGACACAAAGCAAGGTCACTGTAATCAGGTAATTCACCAAACAGTAGAGACGTTGATATGAAATATCATACAGAAACACAGTTTGGTTCAAATGGTAGTACAAAACTGCACAGACAAACACATTCCCCAGAGCTATCGGTCGGCCTCCCACACACAGTGGGGATACTTGAAGACATGGTACATACACAAAAGCATAGTTCAGACACGCAGACATAGTATGCGCACAAAGGCACGGTCCGACACACGCTGAGGCACCGTTCGACACACGCTGAGGCACAGTCTGGGACCCCTCATTTAGTCGCAATTGCAGGTAGTCTTCATGAAGGACAGCCCACCTGCCAGTTTTGCTTACAAGTCCTCTATGTGAGGAATTAGGTATTTATCCAGTTGCAAGAAGCGGCTTACCATTTGCTTAAAATCCCCACAAAGGCCAACCGTGCTGTCAGGCTTCACAATTGGTTTGACTGGTGCTGCCCATTCCACAAACTGCCCTAGCTTCAGATTCTTTCACCTTCTAGTCTCCTGATTTCTGCCTCTACTTTTGCCCGTAAGGCAAATGGCACTGGGCAGGCTTTGCAGAATCACAGAATTGCTCCCTGGACAACAAAAAAGGCTCCTTTATGATCTCTAGACCTCCCTGAAAAAAGTGTCTGTGTATTTAATTAGAATTTCATTCAGGCAGCCATTTTCTAATGGAACAATATTGAAGTAATCAAGATGCATCTTTCTCAACCAATTTCCCATCAAGTTTGGGCACAAGCCTTTTACTACAGTAACTGGTATTACTGGTAATTACTGGTAATTGCAGCAATTGCTGCTCATAAGATACCAGCACCGAAGCTCTAACTTTACTCTGTAACAGTTCCCTGGTGTACGTTCTCAGTCTGGCCGAGGTCTTACGCAAACTTAAGGGTCAGAGTGAATTTTGTTAAAGATTGGTTCTGCAAACCACAGGTACAGCTGCACCAGTATAAACTTCCATGAGAAACTGGGTGACCATTTAAGCGGAATTTAATTTAACTTAATAGCTCTGATTGGATGTTGCTTAACAATTTTACTGTTCAAAACCGCACGTAGGTGGACTTTCCAGGGTGTGCTGATGAGCTCTCCTACTCCAGTCAGGCTTTGCTGCCTCAAGTCTGCATATCCGCAGCAACTATAATAGCAACTATGAGAACATTTAAGCCGTTTGGCCAAGGTTCAGCTTTATTTTGGGATTTTGCTGTGACTGACCTAGGGTCCCTCTGCTCAGGGTATGTCCTCTTTGAGGCTCTGCGATTGCTTACACTCAAGTAGTATTCCCCAAACTCAAATCGGACAGGTGAGGGATTCCACTTCCATTGGGATGCCCTGTAGCTCCCAGGCTCCACTTGCTGCATTTTCTAGTGACAAAGCCAGTTGTAGTGCCCGTTTGAAGTCCAGTTGGGCTTCAGCTGGTAGGCACTTTTGCATGATTTTATTAATCCCACATACCAAACTGTCTCTCAGCATCTCATCCAGTGTTAACTCAAAATCACATGTCTCTACCACTCATCTTAACCTTGCCAAAAATCCCCCGATTCGAAATCGCATGGTTCTCGGATTGCCGAATAAAACCAGTAGTGTCTCAGAATTAGAGGAGGCTTGGGGTCGCAATATTCCCTAACTAAATCCATCAACTCTTGAAAGCATTTCTGGCACCATGCCTTTATCTGGGAGGCTTGACGTGTTTGATCATTCTGTCGAAGACTGGGCCCAATATGTAGACAGAATGCATTACTTTTTCTGAGCAAATGATACTGGGCAGAGAAAAAGCAACGAGTAATTCTTCTGACTTAATAACATTTTAAAATCTGGAAAGCTAGGCTCCTAATAACTGAAAATGCTATGTGTTTGCAAGCAATCAGAAGAATTACGCATTGCTATTTCTCTGCCCCAATGCCATTTGCCCAGAAAAAAGTAATGCATTCTGTCCACATACTGGGCCCAGTCTTCGGCGGCAGGATCAAACAAGTCAAGCTGCCCAAATAAAGGCATGATGCCAGAAATGCTTACCCAGCTCAAAGACGACTGTTGCGAGTGAATGTTCTTCAGGAGCGAACTGTTTCCCTCGTTGCCACTGAAATAATTGCACAAAGGCCAGTCTCCCATCAGCAAGTCACCCTTTATTTACACGTGCACGATCATGGGCTATGACCAGCCAGCTCAAAGGCAGTCACAGAATGGGGACTCTCTGAATCTCCTGTTTACATCCGTCAGCTAGGGCTCCCTTATTGGCCCAGGTTAGCAATCCCAATCAAGAATCTCACAGTCAATGAAATATCCATGAAAGATTAGATCAGCTTGGAAAAATTTAATCTACAAAAAAAATTATCGCATGGAGCAATAATTATGAAATTGTAAAATCATTATTAATCTTTCTGAATAATTCTGTTCAAAATTTAAATTCCATTCAGCCACTTTGTTTATAAAAGATATTTTCAAATGACAGTGATCTTGCCAATAAATCATATGTTTTCATTCAAAATTTGTACGTATAATCCTGCGGTCTTGTAGCTAGTCTTCTCAACAGCTACACGAAGAACTAAGAAAAACTACTCTTGGAGACAAATAATTTAATTTCAATGCAAGGGTAAACAGGAATAACATAAACTGCTCTATTTTTATTTCCCTCCATTTTTCCTCTAATTTTATCATATATGACATGCTATCAACATTTAAAGTTGCCAAATCCATTACTTGTTGTAAAATGATTTGTTTTATGCGATGCATAAGCATTTTTTGTGCTGAAAGCCAGCATTCTGTGGAAATGTCAATATTGTTACATTCAGGGCCACAGGCAGTTCCAGAATTTCTAGGTGGCAACATTCAATTCTGACCTATGATAGATGTGGGGCTTATTGCAACAGTTTCAATAAGTCACTTAGGGAAGCTCAGGGGCCACTGAAAAGCTGTTTTTGGGGACACAGATTAGTTGGAGAAAGAGACAGGAGCAGACTCCAAGTTAGGTGTGTTGATTTTTATCTGTCCTCCAGAGGAGTCAAGAGCAACTGAATGCTGTTAGAACAAATTCAGAGAGAAGTTCTAGGAATTAATTGGCAGCTATAGTTTGGAGTCAGGACTCAGAAGAACTCCTAGTTAGCTAAGAAAGTGGGACGATTGCTAGCTTTAAGTTGAGGGAACTTGTGAGGAGCTGAGCAGAAGTCTGCAGGCATTAATACTTCAATGTAGCTGAGAGAGAGCATGTTGAAAATCTATTGACAGTATTTGACTTATACAACGGAGCAAGATTGGAGCTCAGTGAAAACCCAGAGACATATCTAGCTTGGTGAAGCTTGCTGTTGGCAAAAAGCTGGTAGTTAGTTAGTTAGTAAGTACTGGGGACAGTTTCAGAGTAAAGGAAGGTGTAGACATAGGAAAGGAAGGTGAGCGACCAGAATGGGAGCAGGATATGAGGCCATCCATGACGGAATAGCTTTTAAGAGGGTATTTCAGGTTCAGATTGATCAAAGTGAAAATTTAATCTTTATGAAGTTTAATCAGATTTGATGATCACTCTGTCATTATTGTCGAGAGAAAGTTACCGAGAAATCTATAGGATCTATCCTAATCATGTTTGCCGTTTGTTATGCACTGTGGAGTGATCGTTCACAGAACGTTACCAATTTTTGCCACATGTTAATTCTGGTTATTAGAAAAATGTTGTACAGGAATTACAGTTTGTATTACTGTTTGAACTTGTATAGCACTGTTGGTGTTTGTTCAAAGCCATGAAATCTTGTGACTTAGTCAATCTTTTGG